CGTTAGACGCGCCACGATAGTCTCCTGCTCGGATCATCGAACATGCAGCCACACAGAGGAGAAGGAGCCGAGAAAAAATACATATTTGCGGGCACGTGTTTTGTGTGATGCTAGGCGTGTGGTCATAGGTGCTGATGAGGAGAGAGACAGAGGTGTGATGGTAAAACCGGCAGTGTTCTACCGCAGGATTTAACAGGGGGCTCATGTGGGCGATTGAATGCGCGTGGGCAGTGTGGACAGTTGATGTGATAGGTGTATGTGGGGAGACTCCTGACACTGGTTCGCTAGTTTCTCTGTGTGACGGATTGGCAAGTTGTGCCGAACAAACCAATGCGTGCATGTTGTGTATGTGCGGTGATAACAAAAGCAGGATAGGTTAGAGTCTGTTGATGTGGTGAGGCTAGTAGCGGCAGTCGTGCTGTGGTGGATAGGGAATTTCTAGTGGGATGGGAGAGTCGTCGGATAGATGCGGAGCGTGCTTGGCGGCTGGATATTCCAATGCGGTCTGTTTTCGTGGATGCACATGAGATGCAGTGAGTTAATGCATGTGGGCAGTGGAGGTAGATGGGGCGAGTGCGTGTCTGGGCATCCGAAACTGGGCGGCCGACCACAGTACGATGGATTCGCAAGTGGCAGATGTGTGAGCTGAAAGTGCGATCGCAATGAGGACAGTTTGGGATTTAGTCTCCATAGCTGGCGGTGGAGGCGGTGAGGCTAGTGGTTAACTGGGCGTTGGGAGCGATCTTATCGGCGATGCGAATAGGAATACTGGTCGTCAGTTTAGCGGTTTACTGATTAACAAACGCTTGATCATCTCCTAATTGCTGTGTTTCAGGATGTAGACCAGGGAAGTTCTTTCCTCTAGGCCAGGCTTGCTCTGCGATCAGCCTTAAGTGGTGGCGCTCTGTGTTATAAGGCAGATTCTCGAACATTCGGAAATCCACATTTCAGTGTGCTATCAGGGTCTGTTGTGTCTAGGTCTGGTACACCTACTGCCCTATAAAATACCGCAAAACTCGTGAAAGACGTTGTGAGACGGTGGTCGTGAAGCACTATGAAATCAGCTCATTTGCGACAACTTCTGTGAAGTTAATTTCCGACGAACTACGGCGTTAGTTAGAGTAAGGTATGCTGCATACCTTGTGCGTTGCATGAACTATAGTCTATTAATTAATCACTACGCACACAGATACTGCACGCCCCCCCC